GACAATGAGTGTACAGAGTGGGTTCACCGTACGATGTACACTGTCTGAAGGAGATTGAATCATTCACGATTGTATTGTACGCAACACGTACCAACGTTGTTCGCCTCTCAATGGAAAGCAACCATCCGGTAGTGCAAAAGTAAACTCATACAAAAATCTAATGAATTGGCCAAAAATAAAAAATGCTCATTTTTAAGGCTTATCGTTCTACACAACCTTGAAAGATCAAAAACTATTTATCAGTTATAAACATAATTGTGAAACATGTATGTAAGTCCGCATAGATGAATTACATGCACCATCAGAATATAATTGTGGCGTTAATAGTGTTTTCAGTCAGTGCCGTATTCATCCATTAGTTCAGGCATCTGTGGACTGAATTCAGGCAGTTCACTTCGACTGAAGCTACAAAAAATGTGCCTCATTGCTACAAATGTCAGGAACAGTGGATACTAATACCCCGGTCACGTCGGAATACTTTGAAAACTGGACATGCCGTCAACTGTTAGGACTTGTAAATTATTGTAGACTTTATTGTTTAAATTCATTCCAGAACGCACAGCTGCCATCCGCCTGTCTCTCTGTTCTTAGGTCAGCCTACTACTTTGTGCTTTTTTTTTTTTTTTTTTGGGGGGGGGGAGGATAAAAAAGTTCACAAGATAGATATACTGACAGTCAATGAAAACGAATCAGAAAACTATCTTGTACTTTTTTACTGAGAATCAGTTCCATATTAACGAGTACAAATGCACTTGTTTGGTCATAAGAGAGTGGGCTGACCACTATTTCATATTTCACATGTTTCACACGAAAACTGTTATTTTCTTAATGCGCCAAAGGAACTTAGAATATTATTTGATAAATAAATGATGCGTTTTCATTGACTGTCAGTATACTAATTAAAACTACCAGTTGAAAAAATTACTCAGTTATTAGAAAGTGTCGTCTCTTCTACATCTGCGGCTGAATTAGCTAAATGAAAAGTTTGCAGCAGTATTGCTGCAGTATTGCTGCAAACTAAAAGTAATGAAATTTTGCAGCAGCGAGTGTGCAAAAAATTACGTTGCTGCTGAATTGCAACAAACTTGCGAGAGAGTTTACGACAGGCCTGATATTTAGACATTAGTTGAAGACTTAGAGAGTCATCTACTGTAGGTGTCATTTGCTGCCGGCCACGAGAAGATATGTTGGAGTGCCTGATGGTTCTAATAATAGTATCAACTCGACCAAGCATGTCGATGGGTTAATGAAAGAAGGATTTAAGACACATAAGCCATAAATGACTGATTCTGTCGTGAACTGAATGATTGAATGATGCGGAGCACCGCAAGGAAGCGGATGTAAGTAAGAAGGAGGGAGTTGGTGGGATGGAGATACGATCTGAGCGTCCTGGTAATATTACAACGTAGACTTTATCATTGATCACATCCTGCGGGTCAGATTTCCATGAAAAGAAAAGAAACACTTCCTTCTTTCAGGTGATTTCTAGATGTGGGAGTGTTTTCTAGACAAAGTGTTTTCTTCCCTTCGTTCCTCCTCCCATCCCTCCTTTTTCTACTTCTTTCCTTCCTTTCGGTTTATTGCTTATCCTCATGCATGATTTATTTTAATACAGCAAAAGTAATTGTGCATTCATAAATATATAAAAAGAAAGATAACACAAAGTATTTACGGTATTGATAAATATCACATGTCGATGACATACACGACTGCAGAATGTACAGGAAAAGTAGATTACAGACTATGGAGAAGAGCATTAGCAAACCTTGTGTACATGTACATGGCTTGGAAAAATATCATATCTACAAAAGAAAAAGAAGGCAAAATGAATTCTTTTGATTTCTTTCATTCTTTCATTAAGTGCTGACAACCAACCAGCCATGGCCAGGTCTAGTTTATCCGAGACTTCGGACGTGAAACTGTTCTTTAAAAACCGATCCAATGAAGTTATAACTCAGTGTAACATTCATCTGGCTTACCGTACATAGAAAGAGATAACAAGAAAGGCTCTTTTGGTGTCCCTTGCCATGGACTTAATTACAGTGTATTCGTGCTTTTGTTGCTTATTTCTCACGAGAGCTTGTCGCGGCATTGCCTCATTTCCTCCAACGTAACGCAACATCAGAGACGGCATATGTTACAACATTGGGGGCGTGAGCCTTTGTTACATGTACAACCGCAGAGGTCTGAGTTTTTGTTTCAAAATCAAACCGAGCAACAATACAGAAAAACTAAATACGTTTACTGATTGCATGTTACTGAACAAGAAAAAAAAAAAACAAAACTTGAAAAAAACTCTGTCAAAGTTAAATTTTATCATACATATAAATTACGTAACAATAACTTTCAATTACACAAACTGCATCTGATACATGCAGACGTAAAAACCGCTGATCTTTCTACTGAATTGCCATTCCAGTACTCATTTATTTATTTATTTATTTTTCTAATGGAAATGGAATGTACATTTCACAGAGAAGCAAAAAAAAAAAAAAAAAAACGCGTGCATTCATAGCAAACCTAGCAAAACAAAACAGATATACATGGATTGCCAAATGAAAAACAACAGGTCCTTTGAAATCGCCGTCAAATTACAGAATAACACGCGAAGGCCCTATCATTTCTCAGTTCTAGGGGTTCATTGCCCTTTAATGACCAAGGATACACTCAGGTCAGCGCCATGGGATTTACTCGGACTTTCCGCTCTCGCGAGGTGACTCGATAGTATTTGATGTAAAATAGATGTTTTTCTTGTCTACGCGGAGAAGACGCAAAAAACAAATAATCCGCGTTGGTTCTTAAAACAGCAAAAGTATTTTTTTTTTTCTGGAAATTTCAAAGCTCTTTCATAATGTCACCATGGGATGTCATGTCCATGTTCACAGAACCACGATCCATAAGTCTGGTTTTTCTTGGTTTTTTTTTTTTTTTTTTTTTTTTTTTTTTGTCTCTACTGTAATATGAAAGAGATCGCTGAATTTCGCAATTGACGGTTAAAAGCCAATGATGCGGACTGCTTCTTTTTTGGAGTGAATATATTTCACCATGCAGTATGCGTTTCTGATATCATGTTTACTAGCATATACGATATATTAAAATTGCGAGGCAAATTTATTTATTTATTTATTTTGTAAGTTAGGTAATTAGCTAGCTAGCTAGTAAGTTAATTAGTTAGTTGAATTCAACGTGATTTATACGCTGTCTGGTAACACCGTGGATGGTGAATAGGACGAGGGGTTCATAACAAAAAAGTAAATGTGTGTGTGTGTGTGTGTGTGTGTGTGTGTGTGTGTATTTTTAGCGGTTATACTTATTACAACGCGAGGTGACTCGAGAGTACAGAGACGCAGGGCGGCCCACCTGTACATGTGTTCTCCATAACATGCCGGCGGGCCACCCCCTGCGTCTCTATCCTGCGTCTCTCTCCGCCAGTCGATTTGCTAAGTAGTTGTTGCTGTGTCTGGTTAACCAATGGATGGTGCATAGGACGACTTCGGAATTCATTTCGTTGATATCTGTTGATTGTTATACGTGACACATACCATTGCTTGTCCTGATCTGAATTCTCTAAAGGCGCCTTTTAATCAACGGTCAATGTACATAATCTGCTCGGGGACAGTGACATCCGTAAATTAAACAGCTCGGTTTTTCTGTGGAACTTTGAATGTAGCATGTTTCAATGTCAAAAGAGTGAATCATTTGACTTGCCTGTTAACGTTTGTCTTCCTGCCTGTCCGTTTGTTTTAAAACGATATCACAAATTAAGAAGAAACGAGATACCTGTTACTAATTGTGTTAACGTTATCATGAGCGGGTTATTTCTTTTATTCATTTGTCTCTTCATTAATTTATTTACCCAGAAATAAACCTTTGTTTTAAATATACATCTAGAAGCAAAGTTTTGGTTACAAGCCGAATTTAAGTGAATGCGTTAGTTGAGCACGGGGGGCTGGCACAACCAAATGTGTTCATAAGCCGCTTTGATCTGCTGCTGCTGCTGCGCATTAAACAGAAAGCACCAAATAGACAGGGTATATGTGAATATACTATCGCCTCATTTGCACTTTGATGCCATCGCGAAAAAATGAAGTACACAAAATTAATAGACTAGGGTAGAAAGTTATAACTCAAACACTGTTATAATAAGTATAACCACTGTGAATGAGACAAAGGGGAGCACATTGAAAAGACTAAAGAGTAAGGAATGATTTCTTAATCAGTCAAATTGGTAAAGTGGATTTTTAAGTTCATTCTAAGAATTGCAATGTGTAAGAAAGAAAGAAAAATAACATGAGACGGGCGGTTCACAACAACAAAAGAACCTTTACTTCCATTTATCATCACAACACGATGTCCGTGACGTCATAAAATGGCGTCACACTGGCTGCGTGACGTCAAATACCTTATTATCTATCCTTAAATAGTCGTGTATTTTCTCTGAAACGTTAACGGCGTTTAGTGTACATATGTGTCATACCATATAATCCGTACAAGTGTATTCAATTGGGACAGAGAAAATACATGTAAATTTGATGCAACATTATACATAGTAACAAATTTGCGCTAACGAAGGTAGTCACATACCTAAGCTTTATTTTTACGAAAACAATACAAAGCTTCATGTGCGATTAATTTACACACACTCACACACTCATACACGGACGCACGGACGCACGCACACACGCAAAAAAAAAAAAAAAAAAAATTAAAAAAAAACGAATAAAAGGAAAACTGATAAAAATAATTATTAAAATAGCCGATACAAGCCGGACATGTGGCCCATATACATTGTTTGACTTTTTAATTTTTTTTTTTAAATCTCGTCATCAAAATGTCTATACAACCTGAAATAAACCTGTGTTTTCTAATGCCTATATGTCAGCCATTGGACTGACTGCATACATAAAGCGTAAATAAAATAGTATATCATCAGTAAAATGTATGATTTTCAGAAGTTATACTTATTATAAATATGATAATTATGAATTACTGCCATCGAACTAGACGTAACAATACTGATCACCAAGAAGTGCCTGTGTTGGATACTAAGAGTGATAAATACAATAAAAAAAAACAGCAAACAGGAATTATCTGTGATACTCCAGCTCAACGTCTTACAATCCCGAGGAACGTGGAGTCGGAATGCATGGCAGACTGGCAAGCCCGGTGAGACAACGAATAATATTTGAAAGTATTATAAAAGTGTATTTTTCTGATTGTTTTCTATTAAAAGTTATGTAAATTAAAAGTCTTTTGCATAACAATATTTAATTCACCGTGTTTAGTTTTGCTTTTGTATAACGCTCTAAGATGATTTTCCAGCGAAAACAGTTCATCCTCATTGCTAAAAGGTAATTAAGCACCCACCTCAAACGGATTCTCGCGGGTTTTTCTAGTCTCGAATGGCGTCATGCAGTTTTGACAGCCTCAGATGATTTCTAATATCATTACACTTTTACTTTGCATTTGTTTGTAATACAAGACAAGCTGTCAGATACAATAGCAATACCAATTTCCAGTCTCGGTAAGTTACGCATGCGCAGCCAGTGGGGTTGGTCGTGTCTTGAGTGGTACCGTTGACAGTATGTTGTACGGTGGCGCTCTCTTCAGGGGGTCCCTGTAAACGAGAGGGATCCAAGACACGCCCCAAGAACAAAAGAAGATGATCCTGCTTCACGTAAAAAAGGAAAGGGCTGTCAACCTGTAATGAAAAAGGGTGGCCCCCTCTCTTAACTTCTTTTTAGCAGCACTGCAAACAAAACAAAACAGAAATTCCCCATCTCTTTTGCCGTACCTAGCCTGTTTTCGCTTTTTGTTGTAGTTTCTGTAGAATTATTAACTTTATTCAGAATTTCTTGTACCCGCTTGGAAAAAAATACGCACTTCCGCCCAGCTGCGCATGACCCTTTCACCTTCCTTATTAATTTTAGAACCAAATTATCTTATTTAAATTTCATAATCTAATATAATATAAAATCGTATTTTGATAAATTTCACTGAAATAAAAAATGGCCACTGACGTGTGCCTTAGTGTTTTATGTTTGTGAACTGAATCAAATCCACTCCATATGAGGCAGGAATAAAAAGTATAATCAAAGAAAATATATCAATAACAAAACGTGAAAAAAAAAAAGAATACCTTAATTTCCGGAAACACTTCCGCGTCCTTTATCAGTTCAGGGTCACCTCTGCTAACAACGCCATTATACTCCACGGAAAGCAGAGACTTGTGGCGAAAATCTTCCAGGTAAACCCCGTCAGGGAATGAAGTGATCTCGGCAAGCGGAGAAAAGAGGGTCAGATTGCCTATACCAAGTTCGGCCGCACTGTGAGAACTCCTGTCCAGTCCGAAATCTATCTTCGGAAAAATTAACCCGTCTACTCGAACCAGCTTCCAGTCTGCGGCAGGATCCGTCAGCGTGAGCTCAGGCAGAACCTCCGCTACGGATTCTAAACCATCCGGATCATCAGGCCGTATGATAACCATGTAACCGGATGCAAACGGGATGGCAATGGCAATGGCTTTGTAGTCTGGGAGGCCGGTGTAATATACACTGCCCTTCTTGGCTTCTATATAGGTGACTTTGACAGTCTGATTTTTATCCAGCCTAAAGGTTTGAATGCTTTGCCGGCTGTAGCCAAAGCGCAACGCTGCGCTTTGGGCAAGACGAATAGCGTCCACTAAGACGTAGTTAGTTGAGGCCTCCTTAAACTGGTCGTCCTCGAACACAGACTTGGCATCATCGGTTTCCAAATACGACCACATGACGTCACCGAGCCACTCCCGCGACTCGTCATCAGAGAAATTTGCGCTAAAAAACTGTCCTTGGACTTTCTTACACTGCAACCTGTAACTATTGGCACACGAAGAGCTCGTGAAGTCGACACTCAGGCGCTGATTGACCACGTGCATGTCCACCTGCTGCCGCGAGAAGGATTCCTTGATGTAGTTGGAAAGCGTCTCCTGGTTTTGCCTGCTGCTGTAGTAAGAGACGCCGAGGAATGAGGCTAGTTCCTTTCCGGCCTGTCCGGTCACACAGTTATACACCATTGACACCAAGCTGGACCAAATGGAAAATGGAGAAAATATGAAGTTGCCCTCGGAACCGGAAGATGCCAATTTGCTGTAGACTGTTGTGGAGAAATTGAGCACCCTGTGGACGCTTTCCTCCACGGTGAGACTTGTGCAAGCGCATTTTGGCGCCTGTACTACGAGAGCCACGAGGCAAACGGTGAAAGCTATGAACAAACGGTTCATTCTGTACCTGGCCTTGATCCCAACCGAGTCGTTGTTAGGCGAGTAGTTTGACTGATCAGAAACCCGACGTCGGTATTTATATACACTAACGATAACCCCAAAGCAGCGCATGCTCTGACATGACGCTGGATAAGGCAACGCCCTAGCAATCTTAAAAATTCTTTGTTGTTGTTGTTGTTGTTGTTCAGTGTGACTCAAAGTACCGATTATCAAATAACAGTTGTTGTTTTGATTCTTATTAATTGGTTATAGATCCAGGGATCTCTCTAACCCCGGGCTGTACACCTGTGAAGGTTGCGCGTAATTGCACGAGACTATCGGAGAAAACATCTTCAGGCCTGCCTCTGACTAATAAACCGAGAATACAATTACTGCGCTAAGATGGGTTTACTGTCCGTAAAAGCCTAAAGCCACATTCAGTGGTGACGGTCGCCTGATGTCTTCGACATGCAGCATGTTAATTAGAACGGCCAGCGGCAATATTTTATTTACCAGATGAAGACCAACAACTTGACGTATTGCTTTACCGGTAAAATGTGTACTATAAGCTACATGTATATATATTTTCAAATTCAAACTGAAAACGATAAAACCATCCAACAAAAGAAGCTATGCCGATATTCCCTTTTGTAGTGTACAGAAGAAAGTGCGGTGTGAGGAACCACGATCCTTAAAGAACTAAGTTATTTAATGAGAAATGGATCCAAATGGCACTCTCAAAGGCAGGGACAGATCGCCCAATGATTCGTGAGTTGGAAAAGTTGCTTTTACATAATGTGCTTCACGGCACAGCAAATGCATTCTAGCAATAATTCGACAAGTGGAATGTGTTATAGCAACTAACACAATCTTCATTCACCACCAGGCTGAAAGCTGGGAGACACCAGGAATGGAATTCCGGGGTTCCATGCGATCAGTAAATTTTACGGTTGGCCAGAAGTTTTGACAAAAGGACACTTCCGAATTCTTCATCGCCCACACACATACACACACACACACACACACACACACACGAACATACACTCACTCACACACACACACACAACATACACACGTATAAAATGTGACGCGACACTTGAAAGCGTGCCGTGCTCGGAATTCATTGACAGATGCGCCCCATATTTGATCCACAGACTTGTTATTTCGCGGATCAACTGGTTGTGAACACGGCCTTAATGCATCCTTCATGTATCCGTTCAGAATGACCCCAGATATGCCTGGCTGAACCATAATTACAATAGTTCATATTGTTACGTATTTAGACATTAGTAAATGAATTTACCGGTTTACCGGGATATTGAGCACAAGCCATTTTATCAGTTTCCGCCTCCGGACATATGAACAGTAATAAAGAGCAATAAAGTTCTAATATTTGCCGTAAAGCTACGTGAAAGGAGTCGGACAAAATATGGTAGGTACTGGGTAACGCCGGAGTGGCAGAAATGGTAGTCTTAGGAATGAGTGCCCGGGGTTCCATATGATAAGTACAGGCTACGGTCGGTCAGAAGTATCTGGGTCCATATACATGGGGCAAATGTCCCCGGAACAAAGTAATGGGGGATGGAATACCATTTCTGTCACTTCGGTAAAGGCATGTCAATCCACTAGTGAATGAGACTTGATTAGGCATTGACGAGGTGTACGCTACAAACATGACCTAGTCCACATATGCTATGAACAGACATCAAAGAGTAGGCCTACAACGTATATATAAAAATCGCTTCGGGAGTATTCCGTTAGATGCAGGGTCATATGTTACATTTTGTATGCATGACTAGACCTGTAGAACAAAAACCACCCGCTGATATGATTCAAAACTGTGTCTGTTTACTTTTCAATTCTTGTTTATTACTTTTCATATTGCAGAGACACATATATCCATTTGTAATAGTCGCTATGCTGGTGTTTGCTGGCATCTCAGCGCTGCCATTCGGTAAGCAATTTTTATCAGGAATAACTGTTCAATTAAAATTCTCGATGGTGTATTTTTCAAGGACTTTAAGAGTTTGACTTCACCCATGCATGTTAGCGTCCTGTGCGTGTATTTGGTACTGATAATAACAATTTGCTTATATTTTCACATAAAAGGAACGTTTGCAAGCATTCAATAATGAACTGTTCACATGTTGTTCATTATCATAACGATGGAATGTTTTCATCTTCAGACGTCGGGGCTGTCAAACGTCTCTCATCCTTGGAGACTTGGGACCGCTGGCCGGCAAGACCGGAAATCTGTCCTGACGTCATCTGCTGCGGAGAGCCGCCATGTTGTGACCCGGTCTTTTGTTAAATAATAAGAAAATTCTTCGCTGGGATGGCCACAGCGCTACCGTACACGCAATAATAGCATGAAATTTTGTTCGTTATTTACATATGTAAGAAAATAAAATGACGGTAATAATCGTGAGATATTTTAATTTTAATATTTATGAAACAGTTGATCGCGATGACGTAAAACCCAACTGTCCTGAAGTCGTTTCAAACTTATTAGATCTATCCAAAATATCCTAAAAGTATTCCATCTGACTGTTAAAGGAAGTAATGACTAAACTGAAAGTAAAACGAAAAACAAGTGTTTGTCATCTCTTCTGAAAATCAAATCGTAATTGACTGATGTGAGTCAAACTTTATATCAGATGAAGTGATTGATTAATTTTGTAAAACTGATATCAAAATATATAGCTTTAAAGGCATCGTCCTACACAAAACCTGTCAGAAAGGAAACCCATGCGTTTTCAAAATAAGGCCTATTTAATATAATCGCCTTTAAAACTGTCATTCTTCCTTTTCTCTCAAAGTTTCTTCCCACGGCTTTTTCTTTCCAATGTCCCAATTAAAATGGTAAGTAAAACGCCATTTCTGGGAGGCGTCTGACTCTGCGCACAACGTCATGGTCACCTGACCTTCACTGTCCAATCCCAAGCAACGGTTTGTGCCAAGATGTTTGAGCATAGAATTTTCAAATGTCCATGTGTTGGTTGTATTGTTGCATTCACTGGTAAGATTGAGTGTTGCGTTTTCAGTTAAATTAAAACACCTTGCGTAAAACATAAATTTGCCGTTTGCATCAAAATGAAAGGCGTGCTCGGCGACGTACTGATCTGAGCAGGGCGTGCTGGAGACCACGTGACCATCACGAGATATGACGTCATAACTGAGGCACGTGTCCTCTTTCGTGTGGTGAATCAACTGTCCGAAATACAGATTAGATTTTAAAGGCACCGGTGTATCGGGGATGATATTTTCGACGTACCAAGAAAACGGTTTACATCCCAATTGTTTTCTCAGCTCCTGGCGCTGTTCAATGTGCGTATAATTCACGGGCTCAATGGCCCATTGCGTGGCATAAAAGATATCTCTGTGCTCATCTAGCCAAAGTTCCACCGTCTTTATTTGATTCTTCTGGATTATGGCACTCGATTTGGTCTTCACACTTTTAAAAGTATACGTCAGACCGCCATGTTTGAACACGTGGGCAACACGTGAGCACGGAATGGTCTCCAGGCGACCGCCACACATCCATATGCGAAATGAATGTTCGATATTCTCCGCCCCCCAAATTTCCATCGTAGTATCATACGCTCCGAGCTCCCAGAAATACTTCCGGTCGATGCCATGTGCACACCCAACCATGGTCGGGGTGGGAATCGGTGAAAGCTCCCCCTCACGGTTCTTCAGAACATCAATGGGTATTTTCCTCCACCGGAAGGTCATATCCCAGTCAAAAGTACCGCGAAAGTCTGGCACGGCTCTCATGAACTCAAAATCGTGCGGTTTTATCAGATCCATGACGGGAATGACGACACACGAGCGGCATTCTTTGATCCTGGCGACCAGAGGTTGCAGCCAATCAGTTCCCATCTCTGAGTGCGAATCCAAAAAGAAGAGCACGTCACCGCTGGCACGTGATGCGCCGTGCTGCCTAGCAACCATCAACCCGCTGCGTTCTTCCAGTCGGTACAGTTTGACCTTTTCTAGCTCGTCGACGTAATCAGCCAGCGGAGCTCCCAGATAATCGTAGGTGCTGTTATCGTCTACCAGGATGACTTCTAGCAGAAGTTCCGGCGGGGTTGCGTCCAGAACAGAGTGAACGGTCCTTAGGAGCGTCGACCATGCCTCGTTAAAAAACGGTATGACGACACTGGTTCTTGGCAGCCGGCTCAGGTCGTACTTAATGGAATGACATTTTTCTGGGCGGATATCCGGTAGCGTTCTGTGTAGCGTGAGCAAATCGGTGGCTGTTGCATTAAATCCGTATTCCCCGTGACTTGTCATTCTGGTTATTCGGTTCCATGTTGCGTTCACTTCACTGACTTTTACGTCGTCTACTTTAGCTGCGGTTTCAGCGGTATCAGTAGGGGCCATCTTCAACTTTCCTGTTTCTCTGGATTTGTTTTCTTTTCCGACTTCCGAATGAGGTACTTTAACTACATCTGATGTGTTACTTGTATCATTTTGTTTTAGTACTTGAATTTGGGAAGGGGTTGCAGGTGCTTGATTATTGCTTACGACCGATGGACCAATTTCTTCTTTTTCCCTAGTTTTATTTTCTTTTTCATCTTTTGCTGTAAGTCCTTCTTCCCGATTGGTATCTGATGGACTCTTTGGATCATTTTGCACTGTTAACTGAACCTTCGAAAGTGCTGCAGTTTTACTTGGATCTTCAACGATCTTTTGGTGGTCGATTATCTCTTTCTCTTTTTCTCCATTTTTATTTTCTTCTTTTACAGCTTCATTTTGTTTTTCAATTAGAAAACTTGCATCCTCCATCTTGTTAATAGCTGACAAGTTATTATAATCCATGCGTATAAGTAACTGAGCGCCGGAAGGCCGAGTATTTTGTTGAGTTATACTGACGTTGGAAGGTTTGTTTCCGTGACGTTTGTTCACGCTCTTCTTGACGTCGTTAAAACTTTGAAAACCTGGAAAATCTGTGTCTTTGCTAAATTTATAAAGCAAGGGCCTCAGCAGAGTAGCAGTGGAGACGTTTTTTCCATGTACGACTATATTGTTACTGAAACCCCAACCCGTCACGATGAAGTCCGCGTTAAACGCTCTGCTGGTCTTTCGTTGGGTGTCCCCTTTTTCAGCCACGGTGGTCGCTGCAGTTTGACCAATTCCTGTCACCAAGGCGGAGAAATCCATGTAGAGGAAAAGCTGAATATTGAGAAAGCCCAGCAGAATAAAAGCAATGATGGTAAGCATGTCGCTCCCCATCGCATCCCGAGTAGACTGTTCTCTTTTAGAGCTGTGAAATTATATGCGGTGTGTCGCATTGCCTGGAGGAGTTAACATCACATCTGCCTCTCGGCAATACAGCAGCAGCTGGGATTAAGCTGTGGTTGTGGTCGGCATGAAAAATATACAGCGTTTAGCGTTCCGTCTAGATCTCCTCATCTACTGCGTCTCTCACTCCTCTTTATTATCTTAAAACGCTTTACGTCTAAGGGCGTCGGTTGTCCTTAGCCGACATCATTTAAAGGTACCAATATTAGTATTTTTACAGGGCATGCATGCTATTTCCCAGTCTTAATTCAATTCAAATGGTTAAATGATTTCTTTTTAGTTCAACTAAACCTAAAGCCTGATATAGTAAGTTCCAGCGCCTGTAGTCACGTATACATATCGACAGTGTTTCCCCGTGAGCACTGCATTTTAACGATGTTTTGACGGAGCCCATGGAAAACGCACCTGTTTTTAAAGTTGATCTATAGTTTCGCTCTATTTTTGGACTCTTTTTACATACTGCTGCAATTTCCTGAGTAGACGTAATATTTCCTTTCGCTACTGTTACCAGACAAAATAATCATATAGGTATTAATGCAATCTAAATTAAATCTAAATACGCAAAAGGTTTAGACATCAAGTAAAAGAAGTGTAAATATTTTAATGTGACATGAAATATATTACGAGCAGTGGGGTTGCACCCTTTGGCGACCAAACACCGACAATATATAGTAAACCAGCTTTTTATTTTATTTAAGCATTTATTATCAGTTTTTTTTTTTTTTTTTTTTTTTTTTTTTTTTTTTTTTTTTTTTGGGGGGGGGGGATCCAATCAACTCCACTTTTCCGCATATACGATTTAAACGAACAGTTTTAATTTAACGTAAAAACAACGCTTACGCTGTGTATAGCTTTGTATCCAGGGGGTGGGGGGGACGAGGGAGAGAGACGGCTCCGCACAGCATAAGTAGTGAGTGTTCTATTTAAACAAGTCTTGAATCAAAAACTGTTTTTATTAGCAGGTTGACTTTGTCTGGCGCAAATATTTGAGGTTATTACCTCTGTTTGTCTGCTATTATCCGTCCTAAATGGCGACCAGACATTTGATTGCATTATTTTATTTTCCCAATATGTCTACTGAATGCAGGTCGACAAAAACAACAGCAGACCACGGTTAATTTAACAGACGAAGTCGGGAGTGCCACAGAATTAGTTTTTCTCCACACATATTGCACGAAACAGCAGGGTCTGTTATACGCCAACATTTAAACAAGATTTTACACTTGACATACTTCATTTATTATAGCCAAATCGTATCAGTGCACGAAAATACGACTAATACTTCCTACAACTTCGTTGTTTCTATATGTATATACCTTCAGACATGAGCCTAGGTTTCCAAAAAAAAAAAAAAACCTCTGAACATTCATCATGGGACCTAACACCTAACCAGCCGGGGCTCCGGGGACGCCTTAGAACTGAATTAAAAAACGAGGAATTCCGCGGAAAAAGCTCATGTCTGTACCTTTCAAGGATCTTTTCCCTTCTGCTTCCTATTTAATATAATTAATAAATTGTTTCGTTTATCTTGAGTTTGCCTTAATATAAAGCACCAATGTAGTATTAGTACTTCTCATCAACATATACATTCTCTATTTTTTTTTTTTAATCCTCATTGGACTAGCCATTGAACTACCTGTGAATATCCCACGAAAACAACCGTCCCTGTGACCCTGGTAGAGAGTAGCAATGGACCGGTGTAAACCTCAGCGATATAACCCTTAAATCTTTACACAACAGAGACACGGTGTTAAACAATCTTTTTTTCTCGTTTTAACATGCATGTAAACGATGTGGCATTTCAAATACCACCCTGNAAATGAATGTTCGATATTCTCCGCCCCCCAAATTTCCATCGTAGTATCATACGCTCCGAGCTCCCAGAAATACTTCCGGTCGATGCCATGTGCGCACCCAACCATGGTCGGGGTGGGAATTGGTGAAAGCTCCCCCTCACGGTTCTTCAGAACATCAATGGGTATTTTCCTCCACCGGAAGGTCATATCCCAGTCAAAAGTACCGCGAAAGTCTGGCACGGCTCTCATGAACTCAAAATCGTGCGGTTTTATCAGATCCATGACGGGAATGACGACACACGAGCGGCATTCTTTGATCCTGGCGACCAGAGGTTGCAGCCAATCAGTTCCCATCTCTGAGTGCGAATCCAAAAAGAAGAGCACGTCACCGCTGGCACGTGATGCGCCGTGCTGCCTAGCAACCATCAACCCGCTGCGTTCTTCCAGTCGGTACAGTTTGACCTTTTCTAGCTCGTCGACGTAATCAGCCAGCGGAGCTCCCAGATAATCGTAGGTGCTGTTATCGTCTACCAGGATGACTTCTAGCAGAAGTTCCGGCGGGGTGGCGTCCAGAACAGAGTGAACGGTCCTTAGGAGCGTCGACCATGCCTCGTTAAAAAACGGTATGACGACACTGGTTCTTGGCAGCCGACTCAGGTCGTACTTAATGGAATGACATTTTTCTGGGCGGATATCCGGTAGCGTTCTGTGTAGCGTGAGCAAATCGGTGGCTGTTGCATTAAATCCGTATTCCCCGTGACTTGTCATTCTGGTTATTCGGTTCCATGTTGCGTTCACTTCACTGACTTTTACGTCGTCTACTTTAGCTGCGGCTTCAGTGGTATCAGTAGGGTCGATCTTCAACTTTCCTGTTTCTCCGGATTTGTTTTCTTTTCCGACTTCTGAATGAGGTACTTTAACTACATCTGATGTGTTACTTGTATCATTTTGTTTTAGTACTTGAATTTGGGAAGAGGTTGCAGGTGCTTGATTATTGCTTAAGACCGATGGACCAATTTCTTCTTTTTCCCCAGTTTTATTTTCTTTTTCATCTTTTGCTATAAGTCCTTCTTCCCAATTTGTATCTGATGGACTCTTTGGATCATTTTGCACTGGTAACTGAACCTTCGAAAGTGCTGCAGTTTTACTTGGATCTTCAACGATCTTTTGGTGGTCGATTATCTCTTTCTCTTTTTCTCCATTTTTATTTTCTTCTTTTACAGCTTCATTTTGTTTTTCAATTAGAAAACTTGCATCCTCCATCTTGTTAATAGCTGACAAGTTATTATAATCCATGCGTATAAGTAACTGAGCGTCGGAAGGCCGAGTATATTGTTGAGTTATACTGACGTTGGAAGGATTGTTTCCGTGACGCTTGTTCACGCTCTTCTTGACGTCATTATAACTTTGAAAACCTGGAAAATCTGTGTCTTTGCTAAATTTATAAAGCAAGGGCCTCGGCAGAGTAGCAGTGGAGACGTTTTTTCCATGTACGACTATATTGTTACTGAAACCCCAACCCGTCACGATGAAGTCCGCGTTAAACGCTCTGCTTGTCTTTCGTTGGGTGTCCCCTTTTTCAGCCACGGTCGTCGCTGCATTTTGACCAATTCCTGTCACCAAGACGGAGAAATCCATGTAGAGTAAAAGCTGAATATTGAGAAACCCCAGCAGAATAAAAGCAATGATTGTAAGCATGTCGCTCCCCATCGCATCCCGAGTAGACTGTTCTCTTTTTCCGCTGTGGAATTATATGCGGTGTGTCGCATTGCCTGGAGGAGTTAACATCACATCTGCCTCCCAGCAATACAGCAGTAGTTGGGATTAAGTTGTGGTTCTGGTAAAAATATACAGCGTTTAGCGTCCCGAGCGTTTAGCGTTCTGTCTAGCTCTCCTCATCTACTGCGTCTCTCACTCCTCTTTAATACTGTACATGTATCTTAAAACGCTATACTTCTAAGGGCGTCGGTTGTCCTTAGCCGACATCATTTAAAGGTACCAATATTTGTATTTTTACAGGGCATGCATGCTATTTCCCAGTCTTAATTAAATTCAAATGGTGAAATGATTTCTTTTCAGTTCAACTAAACCTAAAGCCTGATATGGTAAGTTCCAGCGCCTGTAGTCACGTATACATATCGACAGTGTTTCCCCGTGAGCACTGCATTTTAACGATGTTTTGACGGAGCCCATGGAAAACGCACCTGTTTTTAAAGTTGATCTATAGTTTCGCTCTATTTTTGGACTCATTTTATATACTGCTGCAATTTCCTGAGTAGACGTAATATTTCCTTTCCTTACTGTTACTAGACAATATCATCATATAGGAACCAGTGCAATCTAAATTAAATCTAAATACGCAAAAGGGTAGACATGAAGTAAAAGAAGTGTAAATATTTTAATGTAACATTAAATATATTACGAGCAGTGGGGTTGCACCCTTTGACGACCAAACACCGACAGTATGTAGTAAACCAGCTTTTTATTTTATTTTAGCATTTATTATCAGTTTTTGTTATATATATATATATATATATATATATATATATATATATATATATATATATATATATATATATTTTTTTTTTTTTTTTTTTTTTTTT